AGGCCGCGCTCTGGCGTTGCGGCGTGGGCGGCGGCGCCGGCGCCGGTGCAGGCGCCCCGGGCGCTGCCGCCGCGGGGGGCGGCGGCGGCGGCGGCATCGACGGGTTTGTGATCTGCCGCGACGCCGTGATCTGCCACGCGCGCGGGCTCCTGGGCCTGGCGCCGCTCTCCGGCGTCGCCGACTGGGCGGCCGGCGGCGGCGGCGGCGGCGGTGGGGCGCCCCCTATGCAGTGGACGGCGGTTCGGGGCCGCAGGGGCGCGCGGGAGGCGCTAGGGGAGGTCGTGGGCGTAGGGCTGCTGCCCTGCAGCCGGCTGCTGGTGGTCGGCAGCGAGGACGGCCGCATCAGGATCTGCCGCTGACTGGACAGCCACTGAGGGGCGTGCGCTGCACAGGGCCCTGCTACTGTTGGTAGAAGCGCTGCCTACTTACGACACTTCTCCCGCGCCGGATGGCGTCAGTGTAGTGATCAGCGTGCGGGGCGGCGCCGACAAAGGCGGCGGGCCGGGTTCGGACTGGCGGCGGGCGGCGCAATCCTCAATGCGTGCAGCGCAAGGCGGTGCAACCCTGCGGGGCGCGGCTGCGACAAGGCGCTGCCCGTGTCTAACAAATCACCTTTTGAAAGATGAGAGCTTTGACTATACAAAGGTCAAAATGCGGCACGACAAAGGACGGGACGGCGTCTGCTGAAGGAGCCGGGGCACGAGGTTTACTGGTGACTGGGGAGTGAGCGCGGCCCTGGGTCTGGACACCCGGGCTGTACTGCCCCTTGTAATAGGCTGTCGGGCAAGTACGCTGCTGAATCTACCTGCTGTGTGGCATGACACTATTCACACCTGTATAGTGGGTCAAGACAATCTGTGAGATCTTGGCCCGCTGATTGCCGGGCGGATGCTCACCCCACATCAAGTCAGACCCATCGCTGGTGTCCAGCCAACGCCACAGTGTTCGCAGCATGCATGGGCTGCCGTCATCAGCAGCCACATGGCACCCAGTGCCATATGCGCGCGTGCGTGCGGCTGCAGCGGCTGTAGGCCAGCAGCCGTTGGCGCCCAGTAACGCCCTAAACTCCAGCAAGTAGTAGAGGGAGCGGCTTGTGGCACATGCAGCAGGTGCCAAATTGCACTGACAGCGGCACAAGGGCAGCTTCTGCCTAGCACCTGGGAGGCGGGGTCCCTGTCAAGTGGGCCAGCCACTCGAACCCATGAAAGAGGGCCGGTATGGTCCAAGGTATCGCATCAATTGCACTTGGCGAATCAGAAGGGGCGTGTTTTGTGTGTATGATGAGGCACGTCTCGCTTCAAGCGGCGGATGGGGGGCAGAGGGAGATATTCAGAACTGCAGGCTTGAGCAGTCATTGCGTCCCCAGGCCAGGGCCCCAGGCCGTGGCCATTCGCACAAAACGTGCGAAGCCCACATAACAAGGCGCAATTGAGGGCGACTTCCGACAACAGCGTGCCAATCTGCGGGGGCCAAGCCTCAACGTTGACCGTGTTGGTTGCGGGGCGCGCTTTCACAACGCCAGCCAGCCACCCCATGACGTTTTGGCGACGATGGCGATCGGCGCCAGTGCCGCGTGACGGGTGCCCTCTCGGGGCTGCCTAGATTGTGGCTCCCACGCAGTACCAGCTCGCCAACAGCGACACTAGTCTCGAAGGCAGCCAGTTGCTGCCACTCTAAACACGGTGGTGCTCCAGAGACTTTCCCCCTCAGCCTAACGTCAACTGCTCCTCTGTTTTCATGCAGGCTGCTGCTCACGCTGGTCGGGTGAGAGGGTTCCGCGCCTTGGGACTTCAGGGGACGCGGCGGCTCGGCCAGGGGGGGCGTGCAGCTGGGGGTGCAAGTGGACACAGCCCTAGTGACCTGACGCTGGCCCCCAGCGCACGGCGGGCACGTGCCCATTGCCCACGCCAGTGCATGCTGTATCCGCTCGCGTCCTTTGACTTCTTGTCAATCCCAGCTGCAACCGGGGTAAGGAGCTTG